GATGTCTCTATAAGACGGAGGCTAGAGAAAAGCAAGTTCTGATTTTCTTTTTAAGCCATCAGTTAAATGAAGGGATCCAATTGTGATTTTTATGAGCTGTAGAAGCGACAGATTGTTTGAGAAGGATCCGATGTGACGGATATGTCAATTAAGCACGTCTCGGTCAAGAATTAAGCTAGATATTGGTTACGGAAACAAGATAAATGAGTTTCCACAGCACTCGATCCCATTTCGGCGACCGGTGGCGTAAAACAACACCCAGTTCATAAAAAAACACTACCAAATTATCCTTCAGCCGTGACCACTTGATCTTCTTTGTGCTTGCGAATGATGGATTGTGAAAGTGATCAAAAGTACATAAAACAATGCCGCGAAATTATCTAACATTTTGTTCTTACGTGATCTATCGTACTTTAGTTCATTAGTTTGAAGTTAGGCTGAAGTTTCAAGATTTTTATGACATTTGAAAAAGAAAAAAATCGGAAACTGTTGAATAACTATTTCAAATGAATCAACATCATTCACGTGATTATTGTTTTTTTAATCGTATTGAAGTATTTTGTTTCCAAAACTATAAAAAAAGACATTAATGTGAAAATTCATTTATTTTTATCCACTACAATTAATGAGGAAAAATTGATTTTGCTGTCACGCCCACGCCGGGAATCGAACCCGGGACCTTTGACTTTGCGCATCAATACTCTGACCACTAAGCAACGAGAGGTAACAGCATCAGGTCACAGATTCGTCGAACTGATGAATATATGTATATTAATATCATGTGTAGTTGATAAGAATTAAAGGAATTTTCACATTAATATTATATACTAACCAATTTTTAAATGTATTTTGTATTATTTTACAACAGAAAACTTTTATTAAAAGTGGAAGTAATTCTAATCCAAAATTCGTTAGTGTAACCTTGAATCATACAAAAGTCACGCAAAACCCATGTAAACTAAATCTTTTCGAGCATAAATTTGTCAGCAAGCTCTAACATAGTTTGAGGCATGTTACATTGTTACAAGCAGAAAGAGGAGATGTTCTAGTTTTCGCGAAGATTGGCTCGGATGGTGGTGCATTTCCAAATAGTCTTCTACAGCTTTGAATGATTTACTATCTATCTATCTATCTGCACAGTATCCAAATGAAAAGAAAAAAACAGAAAAACGTGATAGGGTAATGGATAAAATAGCTGTGTTAAAGAAATTGATGGAAAACAATAGAAAATAATCAGAAAAAATGAAAACAAAATGATGAAAACAAAACAAAAAGAACTATAAGGGAAAGGAAGATGAGAAAAATTGGAACAAAATCCAGATAAAATTCAGAAAGGAAATACAAGGGTAATGGAAAAACTGAGGGAGAAATAAATGGAAAATTACAGGACCTGGTAGAAAGATTGGAAAAATATTATGAAGAAAGCGGCAAGGAATGGTTTAAACCAGGGCAGAACAACTTAAATGAAAAAGAGAAGGACATAGTACCAGAGTAGCTGGAGATAGAATGTAGAGAAGCATGCAGAGGAACAAAGGAAAAAGGAAATGGAACTGGAAAGGAAAAGAAGAGAAGATAAAATTTTTTGGAATATAGTTAGAGGAGAACAGAGAGAAGAGTTATAAAAGAGAAGATGGGATTGAAGGTGGAAGTAGTGGAAGTATTGAAAGTTAAAAAGAAGGTATATTGGCCAAAAAAGTGGAAAGAATACATGCAGGCGATTAGAAACGGAAGAAGATTGAGAGGAACGGACGTATATATAAGAGGTGACTATGAAAAAGAGAAGAATAAAGATGATGTTGGATCAAATAGTAAAAAAAGAAAGGAAAAAAGGTAGATAAGACGGTTTAAGTTGGGTATAAGAAGATAGTAACAGGTGGGATATTATGGATACGGGACAAGAAAAAAGAAGAAATGGCAAAAAAGAAAAACGAACATTTAGTAGAAAATAAGAAGGGAGTTAAAAGGAAAGCTATTGAGGTGAGGGCAATAGGGTACAAGGATATAAAGATAAATGGAAATAGAGAGAAGATTAGTATAAGTACGTGGAATGAACTAGGTATAAAAAACGTTGGATTTTGGAATAGTAGTAACCGCGACGCGAAGGTTGTTTTATATTATATTATTATTGGAAGAATGTAAAAATAACTTAGGGTTTAACTTACTAGATCTAGGGTTACTATATAATTTAATTTCTGTGTCAAATGAACTGTTGTTGTTTAAAGGCTACATGCACTTTGAAAGACTAACTAGAGAATCATCGGGCACAGCTGATTGCTTGTCAGCCACCGTAAAATGCAGAAAGAACCTTTATTCCAAAAGGATTATAATTATATGTGACGTCAATATAAGCTAACTTCGCTGTATTTTGAATCTGATAACTGATCTAGCATTTTTGAGTTGGCAAAGTAAAGTGATACAGTGTTCGATTTTTAATGTTTAATTGAATCCGTAGGAAATCTTAATTGAAAAATGTCAGCTTCAGACCAGAAACTTTTCTTCCCACCCTTATAAATAGAAAATATCTTCCCACTCTTATAGACAAAAAATTGTACACATTTTTGTTCTGCATTACTTGATGAGGGATGAGGACGCGTGGAATTCCATATCGATCCGATTGCGTCTGTGACACGACGCCTACGACAATAATTAATCTTGCGCCGAGTTTATCCCATCAATGTGGCCGGAATCCCGAAACTTCGACGAGAAAGAGACGTAAATTAAGCCGAAGATCTGGGTGTAGGATGTGCATGCCACTCGCTAATTTCTAAATGTACAACCGAATACGGTTTTAAGCTCCTACGCGTGTTTTTTTTATCGAATGGGCGAAGGACTCCAACTGAGCTAGAGAACTCCATTCAACTATAGCCATGCAATTTCTTAATTACTACCAGAAAAGCTATTTTAAATTTTATATTACTCTCTACAAGCCTGTACTGTCGGTTGAGCTTTAAAACTACAGATCTGTATCTTATTAACGATCTAAAAATGCTTTGAGATTGAGGTTACGCGATCGACATAAATTTGTAATATAAAAAATTCACGAATTATTGCATCCATGAAGATTCGAGGCTCCTGCCATTCGATTTTTACAAATGATTTGGGAATGAGACGGGTTGCCGCGAAATTCGTACCAAAATTCCTCAAAACCAGCATCGTATTAACATTGCTAAGAAGCTGTTGGACTCTGTCCGCGAAGACCCAAATTTGTTCCAGAGGGTCATAACTGGTAACGAATCATGGCTTTATGGTTATGACGTGGAAACCAAAGCTCAATCATCCTACTGGAAGCTGTCGCACGAACCAAGACCGAAAAAACCGCACCAAGTTTGGTCGAATGTGAAGGTTTTATGGTTATGACGTGGGAACCAAAGCTCAATCATCCTAATGGAAGCTGTCGCACGAACCAAGACCGAAGAAAGCGCACCAAGTTTGGTCGAATGTGAAGGTTTTATGGTTATGACGTGGGAACCAAAGCTCAATCATCCTAATGGAAGCTGTCGCACGAACCAAGACCGAAGAAAGCGCACCAAGTTTGGTCGAATGTGAAGGTTTTATGGTTATGACGTGGGAACCAAAGCTCAATCATCCTAATGGAAGCTGTCGCACGAACCAAGACCAAAGAAAGCGCACCAAGTTAGGTCGAATGTAAAGGTTTTGCTTATAGTTTTCTTCGATTGCAGGAGCGTGGTGCATCGTAAGTTCTTGCCACAGGGTAGAATGGCCAATAAGAAATATTACCTGCAAGTTATGCGCAATTTACGCGAAGCAATCCGCCAGAAACGCCCGAATTTGTGGAAGAACAAAAATTGGCTTTTACACCATGATAACCCCCCTACTCACACAGCGTTGCTTGTGCGCGAATTTTAAGTCAAAAACAATACACTAATAATGCCGCAGCCACCGTATTCCTCAGATCTGCCCCCCTGTAACTTTTTCTTGTTCCCGAAACTAAAAAGGCCCATGAAAGGACGACGCTACACTACGATTGAGGAGATAAAGACGGCATCCAAGGAGGTGCTGAACAAGATGAAAAAAATGCTTTTTTGAAGTGCTTCGAGGATTGGAAAAAACGTTGACACAAGTGTATAATATCTGGAGGGGTTTTCTTTGAAGGAGACAAAATAGATATTCAGTAATGTTTGAAAAAATACAAAATTCGAGATACTTTTTGAACAGACCTTGTGCAGGTGCCTACATTTCAGTTTATATGAGAAAAAGGATATAATTAGAAAAATAACTATTTGGGCATGCTCCTATAAAGTGAATTGAAAGGGGTGCTCTTAGATATGCTCCTAAAATGTATTTGTAAATGTTTTGATTTTAGTCCTTTGTTTTAAATTCCTTATTAAGACGTTGCACCCTCTCTAATTACCAGACATTAAAAACAAAATGCTATTATGGAAACAACAATTTTTTATGTTTCCCCCTACCATGCTCTCACAATACTATCTGTACTTACAATTAAGGTTATCTATCAATCCATTGTCTTACATCAATACTGATTACACTTTAAATTTTTATTATACACAGAGTAGATAATATCTATAAAGTGCCAGACTAGCACTTGAGAAGTAATAGCTGCAATTATTTACAGTTAAATGATTACATTACTTATTATTGTTTGTTGTTTACCTTACTGAAGTGATCGCTTTTTTGTCACTTAATCGTTCCATTATTAAATTGTAAAATTATCGTAAATGAAAACACATACACATTTTCTTAGAAAAAAAAAACTAATATAGCATTTGTTAGATAATGGAATAATTAATACACTAAAAACACACAAATACTTAGAAATCGTGCCAGACATGATTGACGTTTATTGACTTATCACATAAAGTTAAAAATTTCCACAATGGCAATAATTGAAGGTCCTTCTAACTACAGTTCCATTATGGAAAGGGCTCTTTCTCTCAGAAAACCAGAAAAAGATGTAAAAGTAACTTTTTAACCCATTTGCCTGCAAAACTGCTTTACATTTTGCTTTCTTTCGATTTCAGTTTATATCAGATTACGATGGCGAGAGTCATCACTTCACGAAAGTCGGACCGGGAGGTCTTATCGACTTGGAGAAGATATATCGAATCCAAGCCGTTATGGACCACATTTCTTTATTTCATCAGCACTTCCACACCCAAATGCGTCTTTCAAACGGTGCCACCCTTCTAGATTATCTAAAGTAAGTCGATCCTTATGATTATTTCGATCTTTTTGTAAAAAGTGGTTCATTCACCGAACATCACCGATTATTTGTTACTAATAAAATAAATAAAACGGAAATCTGCAGCAGTTTCCTGCACTTTCTTCTACGAAAACCTTCAAAATCCTTAAGATAAATCATAATATCTAAATTAACATTTTAAGAAGTCATCATTGAAGATAACTTCTTGTTTGAAATAATACAAATAAAAAAAAAAGGGGGCGAGCTTGTATTAGTGCGCACGCGTAAAAAGTGAAACTTTTTAGATTGTATATTATAGTAGTATTTTAGGTCTAGATGATGGCCCCCACCCCTTTCAGGGTGGGGGGATCGAAAGAGGAGGTCTCCCCCACCACTGTACCATAAAAAGTTCGTGGCGGTCTCAGCCCCATAAAAAGTTATGGGAGTTCAAAGTTAATAAATATGCCAATTTTTATACATTTCTAGGCATGTAAATATTTATATAGTCATCCTTAAACAATATTCAAAGGTAAAACTAATGAAAAATACATAAAAATATTCAGAAAGTTATATAAAACATTATTTAAATATCTTTATCAATAGGTTAGGTTAGGTTAGGTTATCGGCTTTTGTTCAAGTGACCACCCTCTTTCGATCCCCCACCTCCACCCGCTTGAAGATACTCTTTTTATTGAATTTTATTTGAATTATTATTTTAGTGTATGAAAATTATCAAAATAATCAAATTTCAACCCCCATAACTTTTTATGGGGGTGAGACCGCGGCAAATTTCTTATGAGGTTTTACTCAGGTAACCACCCTCTTTCGATCCCCCCTACCCCCACCCCCATCTAACCCCCATAACTTTTTATGCGAGTGAGACCGCCACGAACTTTTTATGGTACAGTGGTGGGGGAGACCTCGTCTTTCGATCCCACCCACCCCCACCCCCTTGCGGGGTAGGGGCCATCATCTAGACATTTACCGTATTTTTAATTAAACTTTAACATTAAATAATAACTGAACACCAGAAAAATACAACTTGATTTCGAACGGAGTAATGCGAAATACTGGTTTAGTTCTGTTAAAACTTTTACGCTTGCACCTTGCAAAACTACAGAGAGGAATAACAAATCAAAACAAACAAACCCAAACTCAGTTACAATACATATACAGTACAGGGTATGCGCGATCTGCTGACAATTTGTCGAAATAATAATTTTCGGAATATCGGTTAACTTTTGAAGTCTGTTAAAATGACTCCTTTTGGACATATCCACCAGGGGGCACACGTGGCGCGTGACGCTGTGACGCGTGACGTTACACATTTCGGTTTTATACCCTAGTAAATTTCCGTTCTACCGTCGATAAAGAGGTTTGACTTCAAAAAGAACAGTTGCTGTTTTGTCATACTTCAAAAAAACCAAAGCTTTATCAAATAATTTTATAGAAGCAATCATATAATTGTAAATTGAATTTATTTCCTTTAAGTACATAAATTGAGTCAACTTTTTTCAAAGAGTCATGATAAAAAGAATTGGAAACCAATTACTCATTAGGTGTGGCGGTGAATGAAGCCGCAGATACCTAGGGGCTGTTTCTTTTTCGTTTGAACAAAGTTTTTCCTCGTGGATAACTCAATATTTATTTTAATTTAGGACTTCTCCCATAGTAAAAAGCCAACGAATCGTAGCGGCGGCGACAAATCAGAGAGAAGAGCAAGACGAAGAATACGAATTCGAAATATCGGATTATCATCCCATTCAACCACTCGTATACGATCACGGAGTCAGTTATGTCTGTCTGTCGCCACCAAATACAAAAGTCGACCAACATATTATTCAGGTAAGGAACGAGAATTGCTTGTAAAACAGTGGCAGCCGCAACGAATAGGTTATGAGAAAGCGGAGCTCGCAAGAGATGATAGGATACAATAAAACATGAAAATTAAGTAAATGTTTATGTACAAAAATTAATCGTTTTAATTCCGGTCCTGGTAAAGAAAAGACAATGCAACACCGCATTCAATTAGCTGGCAATTAACAAAGTCAATGCTGTATTCCTTTTGTATTATTTGTTCTTTGTTAGATTAAATTAAGTGTGATTGGAGATGTTTACGTTATACCCAGGTTTTTTTTAGCGTTGTCAGTCGATCATTGGCAGTAGGTCAGTGTACCAGTCTTCCTGTTATTCGAATGGCTTTTAATACGAACTTCTTTGAATGGAGTTGTGTGAAACAGCGCGTGTGTCAAACCCCAGTGCACAATTCTAATAAAATGCACAAACGCGTGATTATCGCTGCAAATGAAGTACGTCGAATACAGGGCGTTTTTGTCCGATTTCTTGATGAGTGAATGTATTATCTCAACATTTTATCCCTTTCGCACCACACATTGGTAATAACTCCCCATTTTTGCAAGACCACACGTCGGTAGCGTAGTGCAAGAACATTAACACGAGGTAGATATTGAGACACTAGAATCACCACCTCGCAGCCAGATCTCAACCATATAAAGCATGTGCGTGACGGTTTGGCTCTGCTCACGATACATTTTGAGTAGTTGAAGATTCTTTTGTTTACAAGCCATGAAACGCTATTTTTTCACAATTTTTTCTTTACTTATGGCGTCTGTTCTGTTCACTGATTTTTTCAAAACGTTCAATTAAACTTTTCTAGTTGTTCTTTGCCAGATTGACGGAGTAGTAGGACAGACAGAGGATAGGGCGGGGTTGAATCGGCTTTAATAAAAAGAAGTCATTTCTATGCTCGCGAATTTAGAAATTGGAAAAAGATTGTTGAAGGTGTATGTTTGAAGAGTGGCGCTGTACGGGTGCGAAATATGGACGGTAGGCGGGGCGGAAGAGAAAAGGTTAGAAGCGTTCGAAATGAATGGCGAATGATGAGGATATCGTGGATAGAGAAGGTTAGAAATGAAGAAGTACCTATTAGAAAAAATAGGAAAACAGAAGACTCTATGGAAGTCAATAAGAAATAGGAGAGTTAGGTTAGTAGGACACCTTCTCAGGCATGAAGGTCTAGTCAGAGACATATTAGAGGCAGAAACAGGTGTTAAGAGGAGTAGAGGTTAGATTATTATTCGCAAATGGTTAAGGATCTGGGTTGTTCTAGTTTTGGGAATGATGATGACGAATAGAAAGGTAAATTTATTATTATGAGTCTGTTTTATTAATAAAATTAATAACGCGAATCAGAAAGCAAAACGTACGGAAAACCATGATATCGATAGATTCCGACTGTTCTACCTGTAGTATCTCACAAGGTGTTCCAAATTTCAGGTAAAATCTGTCATCATTCATACACTCAGTATATGACTAAAACCGACATTTAAAAAGTAATTTCACGCTGTCTTTTCGAAAGAAGCAAACTGCATCACAAAAAGACCATATCGTAGAATTAGAAATTAAAATCCATCCCAAGACGTGATATGAAGTTTTGACGCCCATTTAATAAAGGATTAATTGTTAAATCCATTTCTGGTGGTCATATTTAAGCGATTCTGGTAATAGCATTATTTTCCCATGGCATGTGAATAATTAAGTGTGTTTATACAGGCGTGAGCACTGGAATATTATTTATGTTCAGGAACTTGCACATGACGTCGCAGGATGAATACGATTTAAATTTAAATGAGGGCAAAAGCTCTGTAAGACGTCAACTTCCCTCTTATTCGATAGGTCAAGAGGGCGACGTTAAAAAATCACTGAGGTAGATCTTTTAAAACTTAGGGAACAACATGATAATGGGACGGAATCAATTTAGGAAGGCGAAGATCAGAATAAGTTGAATTGAATAATAACGACGCAATGATTTTCGTCAATATTTGTTCTCTTTCTTTGATCTATCCAAAAATGCGGAACTGCCTATTGAATTCACATAGAAAGTAAACACGTTACCTTTTATTTTTGAAAATACTTTTGCAGCGCCCAACTTTGAGTAATCACATTACCCTGTTAAATTCCTTATTCTACCTACGTCTTTATACAAGTACGTTATTTTTACTACAATCGAAATTACTTGGATGTTGGAATTCATTCTAAGAACATTCTAGTCGCTTGCTTGAGCGTATCTTCTGTGTATTATTGTGTCTGTCTTCTTTGTTTTGCTCAGTTAAGTCTATGCAAGTGCAAGTATTTTGAATATTAGGTATATGTATATCATAAGCCGACAACAGCACATGTACTCTGTTCAATTCTTTGCCAAATTGTCAGATAACAATTGAAAATTAACTAACCAACCCAATCTTCTTTCTTTGCTGCTGCGTATTGAACAGCCTACGTCAGTATCAACCTGCATAGAAGATTTAATTGTTAATTTTTGAGAAAAACGGATGAACTTATTTTCCACTATCGCGTCTTTGGACGCTTCAGACTCAATACTAGCTCCATCTCCAACATTCGAGATTATTCTACTGCTCCATATTCTCTAATCTTTGCCTAGCGTATAAAATAGGTTTCGCCCTGACTGACAGGAAAGTCATTTACAATCTGGTCAGTACAGTACAGCAACAATTCGACAAAGAGCGCATTAAACAAATGAATGTATTTTAAAATCTACAGCAACTCAATTCAATGTTTCAGTCTTCGTAACCCCTACGATCCATTAAAGATTCAATAGCTTCGCTCTATAAGTATCTCATTGACCTTTGATTGTTTAGTCTTCCATTAACTGTAAGTTTATCCCAATCATTTTGGTTATTTCAGATTCTACATCATGGCAGCACAGCAGTGATGTGGGAAGGTATTGAAGGTCCATCACCTCCTGGGGGTTTGCGGAGTACCCTCCAATACCTTCGACTAGATCGTTCGTGTTCAACATTAACATGGGTTCGCCCCAGTTGGAGTGGCCTTAGAGTTGGTGTATCAAGCGGTGATACGGATCCGTTATCTACCGATTTCAACTTGTCCTTTAGTCCAGAAGATACCCTAGCTCCGGGTTTGCTTACGAAACTAGCATTACAAAGCAGTGGGGAGCAATCTACCAGCAGTACCCTTGATGAAGGGTGAGTTTAGTAGATATCGATTTAATAATATTTTGAATTTGTACATTTACGTTATATTATGTTGTATTTTGAACGATTACTTCCGGAACAAGTCACGCAAACCCGAAACCGTCAGACACTAATTGTCTTACCTAAGCCTGTCCGTCATTCTTTTATTGCTACTTAATTATTAACTTAATAGATAGATATACACGGCAGAAGATTAGTATGAGATTTGCAGATGATACAGCAGTGTTAGCAGATGTAATAAAATAAAATGGAAGCGGTTTTGACGAAATAGTATGGTATGAAAATAAATAAAAGTAAAACAAAAATATTGGCATTCAAAGGAAAAAAAGAAAGGAAAGAGCGAATATAAAGATAGGAGGCGAAAAATTAGAAGAAGTGGCTTATTTTAGGTATCTAGGAAGTCAGATAAGAGAGGATCCGAAAAAAATTGTTAAAGGTGTATGTTTGGAGCGCGGCACTGTACGGGTGCGAAACATGGACGGTGATCGCGGCGGAAATGAAAAGGTTAGAAGCTTTCGTAATGTGGTGTTACTGGCGAATGATGAGGATACCATAGATAGAGAAGGTTAGAAATGAAGAGGTATTAGAAAGAATAGGAGAACAGAAGACTCGATGGATGTCAATAAAGAATAGACGAGATCGGTTGATAGGACACCTTCTCCGGCATGAAGGTCTAGTCAGAGACATATTAGAGGCAGAAACAGGAGTTAGGAGGGGTAGAGGTAGACCTAGATTAGATAACTGTTCACAAATAGTTAAGGATGTGGGTTATTTTAGTTTTAGGGAAATGCGAAGTTTAGCTCAGGATAGGAAAGAGTGAAGGTACGTGTCCAACCAGTCTTAGGACTGACGACCTTATGATGAGAATGAAAACAAAAATATTCGCATTCAAAGAAAGAAAAGATAGGGAAAGTCGCTGATTTTTGCTATCTCGGAAGTCAGATAATTCAGGATGCAAAGAGGAATAGAACAAAGGATATCTTAGCAGAGTAGGAGAATAGAAAGTGCTATGGAAATAGGCGGGATAGGTTGGTAGGACACTTTTTCAGGCATGAAGGGCTAGTTATAAATATAGAGTCAAAAGGAGTAGAAGTAGAAAGAGGGGAGGTGCGTATCGAACCAGTCTTAGGACCGACGACCATATGATGATAATGATTATGATCATGATAATGATGTTTGCACAGAAAGCTCTAAAGGGTTCACGTACGTTTAAAATCTACAAATCTAAATGCATTTGAATTGAAACACAGTTTAAACGAAGCAGCGTTTCGTTATCCATTCAAAAAATATTCTCACGTTGTCCTGTCAACTGTTATTGACGTGCCGTTTACATTTGTAAGCGTTTTATTGTCACCCTTTGTCGGGCGACATTTTACTCATGTTTTAGTGACCCATATTTCTATCGATTTTCGTAGAACGAACGTCTGGCAGCATGTGGCTCGAAGTTAGAAAGATAAATTGAAAAAGAAAGCAATAAAACCGCGTTGTCGTTGTACATATTCACTGATGTGGAGCGGTTCGCGTTTAATTACGAACGATAAAAATGAATGAACGAAGTTTAGTTGTCACTTTTAAAAACGCAATTCGTTGAGGATAATCATGGGTCGCGTAAAAAATTCATAAAGTGAATAGGAACTCAGAGCAATTCAATTTTTTTTTTCATTACGTTTTTATTTTACTAGATACCTTTAAAAATATTAACTACCTGTGCCCCTCCTTAACTCTTTTTTCAAATTTTTAATATATCCCTAGCTGACCTCTCGTATCTGAGAAGGTGTGCTGCCAAACCACAGAGCAGGCCAAACTCCGCTCCTAACGCTCCTAGATGCTCCTACAAGAGCAAGCGAGAGAGGTATGCAAAAACATGTCTCTCTTTCTCCATAACCATAATCAGAAGGAGGAAGAGAGACAAGTATCGCTCGTTTCTATATTTGTCTCTGTTACATACCTGCAATATAGTCGCTCCTGGGAAGTCAAAGCTTGGCCGGTTCTGGGGTAAGGATTCTATACAGTAGGTTCACTCCTTTGACCTGTCTAAATACCTACAGTTTTTACAGGTCATCATAAATTATATTCATGTACGCTGAACAATCTTAACTAGAATTTTACAGAGGAAAATTGAAAAAAGGGCGGAGCAACTATTAGGAGACGATCAATTTGGATTTAGAAGAAATAGAGAAACGCGTTAGGCCATTCTAGCATTACGAGTAATAACAGAGAAAACGATAGAAAAAATAATGAGTGCATATACAGGAAAAAGGCTTTTGACAATGTTAAATGGAACAAGAAGTTAAATACACTAAAAAATGTAAGGGTGAGTTACAGAGGTAGAAGAGTGATACCTAGTTTTTATAAAGAGCAACAGGCAGTTATAGAGGTTAGTAGGACACCTTCTCAGGAATGAAGGTCTAGTCAGAGACATATTTGCGGCAGAAATAGGAGTTAGGAGTAGTAAAGGTAGACCTAGATTAGATTACTGTTCACAAATAGTTAAGGATGTGGGATGTTCTAGTTTTAGGGAAATGCGAAGATTATCTCAGGGTAGGAAGGAGTGGAGGTGCGTACCCAACCAGTGTTAGAACTGACGACCTTGTGATGATGATATGCGCTGAACTGTCATATACGAGGACGGTTCAATAGCTTTAGATGCGAAATGTATTTGTACTGTAGCTTCACGAAGACACCCTGTACAAGCGAAATGATGAAGCGTCGGTAGGAGAGGGATGTATGGGCGTGGCTGGGAAGTGAAC